GAGACTCCAGGACAATCCTGGAGGGTTGGCAGCCCTAACTCTAAGCCATGCAGCCCATGGCGCAGGCAGAACAGAGGCAAAGCTTCCTCTCCGTGGCCTGGCCCTTTCAGTTGAGTTCCTGTCCCCAGAGGCGCCAGTTCCCAGCCTCCGAAGCTGCTGCTGTATCTTGAATGGTTTCTGTCTCCTCTGGGCTGTTAAAAGCTGTTTCCATCTAAGTGGAGCCTCATGAGCTAAGACCTGTAGCTAGTGCAAGGCTGGCTGCACCTGTGTCGAAGGCAGTACAACCCTGTCCCCTTCATACAGATCGGGTGCAGTCGTTGTCTGTTAGCAATGCAGGCCTTAGCTTGGCAAAGCATGGATGCCTTTGGAGTGATGCACAGGGAGCTCTGCCATTTTGTCAGCAACTGGGGGAAGATTGTTCACACCACATACAAAAAGCAGCTACCCCCAGCTTCAGCAGGCAATCAGGCTAAGGATGTGCAGATTAATAGCGGCCCATTCAGGCATGTGGGAAGGGGGAGCAGGGCTTGGGGAGGAGGGGAGGGTGGGGGTGTCTGGAAAGCTGACTGCCCTCTCATGTGCTCTCCCATCTCCGTGGGTGCTTCTTGGCCTGCATTATCCATGATTTCGAGTTGGGGAGCATAGCTGTTTCTATGAGTAAGCACAGTGGGTTTCCACCCTGGTCTAGCAGATATTGCTGCCATGGCCACTCTAAGTGTGAAGCCTGGGCAGAGATTCGCAGTGTCCGACTGGCACATCAACAGCGACCTCATCTCGACAAACGCCGAGAGGCAGCGTTCTGCTTCCCACCAGATCCGTCAGGAGGCCAGGTTTCTCCGCAACGAAACCAACAACCAGGTGGGTTTTCCAAAACCTTCCCCTTTGGTTCCAGTGGTCTTCAAGGGACAGGTTGGGTCATGTGTCTGGCTGACTGAGTAGATTGGGAATGGGGGGGGTGGTGTTGGTCCCTTTCAGCCTTCTGGCTGCTGGGTCAGACCAATGCCTGTTCTAACTGAGCCTCATTAGTGTCCCAAACCATTTGCCCTTTGAAGATACTACATTAAGCTAAACCTCAAGAGTTCAGTGTGTAAATCCCTGCGTACGGGTATTAGTGACAGTTCCCAGGGTCAAAGGACAATCCATTGTCTTAGTAAACAAAACCAAGGTTATTGCATCTAAAACCCCCTTTGCAAATACTTTGGTTTAAATTATTCCTAAGTATTAAGTCACGAGACACACAACCTTTGGGTTTTCTTTATACAGCTGCCCCCATTTGACAGCTGTTAGATGTTTCAGCATAAGGTTAGCTGAAATGTTTGCCCTTGTACAAGTTGGTAATGATGTGTACACACATCTCTCCGATCTTGCACAGGGTTCTCGGTCTCTGTAGCGTGGCCTTTCTGTAGGAGTGTGCGTGCTTCTTCGATTCTCCAGCCTCTCGGATCCTTCCAAAGGCTTCCCACTCCCCTTGGCAAAGCAGACCAAGCCTCCTCCCAGCCTGCAGCTTCCACAGAACCTGATCCACCAAACTGCCTGAACCCTCAGTTTATCCACATCGTAGTCCTGCACTGATCAGCCACAGGCTGTCTCCAGCTCCTATATCTATAACCTTTCCCCTCTCCCCAAGCACCAAACCAATTGGCTAAGCTGGGTGAGCAAGTGGGAGCCAGCTGCTTGCCCATGACCAAAACTCTGTGCAGCTTAAGGAACAGCTACTGCACCTGTCTAATAACTGTCACGTCCAGGGATCCTAGTTTTCTCTGATTAAAAAAAATTTCACAATTTTCAGTTTAAAAAAAGTAACCCCAAATCCACATTTTTCTGTGGTTAAACTAAAACACCACTCTCTCTCTCTCTCTCTATATATATATATATATGTATATGTGTGTGTGTGTGTGTGTGTGTGTGTGTGTGTGTGTGTATGTATTAGTGGTGTTTCATTTTAATCATGGAAAAATGTGGATTTGGGGTTACTTTTTTTTTACACTGAAAATTGAGGATTTGTTTAAATCGGAGAAGACCAGGGATCCTGGATATGTCCTACTTCACAGCATTTCAGGGCTCTCCTGACTCAACTCTCTTGCCCTATCCTTTGATAAGCAGAGTTCCAGCTAAAAATTGTGCCTTCTCCTCTCTTTTCTTTGGATCTGACACAACACAAAGTAGGTTACAAATTCTGGCAGTGCTTTGTGTTCCACTGTGCAATATCCCCACGATGGGCTATTTGCTTCTGTCGGGTGCTTCAAGGCCTCTCGGGACAGGAATATAGAAAGCCAGGAATAAATTGATTTTGTGCCTCCGCCTCTGGGATGGTGTCTGGTGCCCTGTGCCTTGGGCAGTTATTTACACTGGTGCAGAGAGTGGTGGACCACAATGTACTTTCAAATGACGTGGTAGTACTTCTCATAGGTATAAATTAAAAAAAGAAAAAAGGAGAGGTAAGTGGACCCTCGGTCAGTGGGGTGATGCATACCATCAACATTCGCAATTTCAACTACCCGTGCTGGGATGTGTCTTGAATTCCAGACAAAATGGGATGAACATGACAACCGGACGCGGCTGGCTGAGCGCATCGACAGCGTGAACCGATGGAAGGAGACGCTGGACAAATGCCTCGCTGACATAGACACAGAAATCGATGCCTTAGCCAAAGTAGGTGGAGAAGAAAGGATGGCTTAAAATCAGCATCCTCTCTAAACTTGCTATTTGAAATGACTGCCACCCTGCTCCTATGACGGGCAGGCCCATAGAGAGTTCAGTGGGGCACAGCACAGGGGTACCAGTTCTGTGCGGGGTTAAATTCGTTTCAGGATAGCAAATCCTTTAGCGCAGGGGTGCTCAGCCTTTTGGTGTGGCGGGCTGGATAAGTGACGCAGGGCCTGTCTGCAGGCCAGATCGGGCCCTGCACCACCTCTGCTTGGCTCACCACTGAATGGGGCTCGATGCAGCCTCCCTCAGCCCCTTGCCACAGGGGCAGACTGTGCAGCTTCCCTGGAGCTCCGTACCACCTCCCGTGGCCCTTGCACCATCAGATATGGGCTCCTCACTGCCTCTACTTGGTCCTGTCCTGCAGGATCAGGCCCTGCACTGCCTCCAGCCAGCCCCTGCGTGCCCAGATTGGCCTCTGTGTTTCATGATGATTGGTGGCTGCCTTTCTTTTCTTTTTAAAGAGTTCCACGTTAATGTACTAGCAATACAAGAGACACTAAAATAAAACAATAAGGTTTAAAAAATGGGGAGTAGTAATAAGATTTTAAAAGAATATTAAGAGCTCAACAATTTTAAAGCGGAAAAGACTCAGTTTGCCTTTGGCGTGCTTTTAAAAATTTAAAACGTCTGCTCCGTTTTTCAAGTTAAGACCCTAGAAGCCGTTCTAGGTGAAGGCGCGATGGGATCTTGTATGTGATGAGAATTAATGGTATGATAGGAAGGAGCCACAAAGTTATTACACATTTTGTGGAAAACCTTTGTAGCTTATTCCTCATTTTATCATGGTATTAATTGATTGAACATGTGACCACCACTGATTAATCGCACCTCAAGTGTAATGTGTAGATGAGGTCTAAAGGGTGGTTTTGTATATAACATAGCATTTTCATTGTTTTTCGTAGGCCCTGCATATATTTAATATATTTCTCCTGTTCATGGCCAGTGGCTTTCTCTGGGATCTTGGCAAGTTTTAGATTCGTGTGTGCCTTGGCTTAAAGCAAGGCTTGAGCTGTCTCAGGTAGAGCATAATGTCAGCAGAGTGCTCGGAGATTCCCAGCGCAAAGGTTGTAACTAACCAGAAATGGGAAGGGAGTTTTGGTCTCAGGGGACTTCATGGTCACCAGTGAGGAGACCTCTCTGGTCCTCTTGATCTCTGGTCCTCTTGTGCCTAAAAGCAGACATGACCTGAGCCAGCGTGAAAGGCCACTGAGTAGAGGCTGTCATTCTGTCCAGGAGAGATCAACTCGGAGCCACTTTCAAGAGAGTGGCCAGAACCAGACCCCTCTTATAAAACAGCAGCCAACATCCCCTTTTCCCCTACCAAAAGGGAAGCCACATCCCTAACTCTAGCTGGCTTCTCTCCACCAGATGAAGGAGGCAGCAGAGCGTGCCCTGCAGGCTAAGAACTTGCCCCTGGATGTTGCAATCGAGTGCTTGACACTACGTGAAAGCCGCCGGGCCATTGATGTGGTGAGGGATCCTGTGGAGGATGAGTTGCACAAGGAGGTGGAGGTGATTGATGGAGCCAAGAGAGATCTGCAGCAGAAAGTGATCCAGGCCTTTGAGCAGCTCTGGTGAGTTGAGCAAAAGAGAATGGGGCTGTTTACTGCAACCCCAAAGGCACTTCTGTACTTGGCTGGGGGCTAACACGGTGCGAGGATTTGACATGACTCTTACCATCCAGAGATCAAGCCGAACGTGTGTCCTGGGGCCAAGGCTCTGCTATTGCTGTGTTGAGCAGCACCCCAAGTGAGGATCCAGTAGCTTTCCCCTGTAAGAGGGGGCCCATTTTAATAATGACTGTTTAAAGAGCTCCTAGTCAATGGTTTGATTGAGCCAGTGGAGAGGGAAGAAAGGCATATGGGAGCTAAACTCTGAGATGTGGACTGCTGGCAAAGGTTTTTGAGTGCCCAGCTGGAGATGCTTTCATGGTCCTGAGCCTTTCTGAAAACTCAGCAGTTTCACTCTAAGTTTTAAGAAAATATTGTACATGCAAACGACCAATGTTCTGGGTGCTCATCCTCCGTCCTGTCACTGCCTTGCTGCATGACTCTGGGCAAGTTACTGCATCTGTCATGCGTGGAGGTTGGTTCAAGAACAGCTACAGCAGAGTGGGTGATGGAGTTGCAGTGCCTGGGGTCAGGGATCAAACGGGGCCAGCCTGCTTGGAGCCCAATGCTGTAGAAGCTCATTATTCTCAGTCCCTAGTTCTCAGGTTTCTAAGGGAAGCTTTGCAAATGGGTAGATTGAATTCAGACTACCTGGATCCCTGCTCTTCCCTAGCATGGAAGCATCTGTGTAACACCTGATGGACCAGTAGCTATGCCCAGTCTTGCAATGGGAGCTTATGAATAACACCCTCTATGTGCCCACCCTCTCTGCCCCCTGCCAAGGGCATGTAGTTTCCATAATGTCCCACTAAGAGCTTTTCAGTCTGCTCCCAGTGGCAAACAGCTGTTTCCATCTCCCTCTGTTGTAGCCTTCTGCAGGAGGCACGCCAGCAGCTAAATTTTGATCACCGCGGGAAAATGGAAGCACTGGAGATAGACCATGTCTGCTTGTCACTCAATGTCAATTCTCCCAACATTTCATTCAAGGTCAATCCAACCCGGGTCCCTATTGGGTAAGGAAAGAGCCACTCTGTTCCTGGCCAAGTTAATTCTGGTGCAACCTTCATGTTGATGTAATAAGTCTTGGGACTTCTGTCAGGTTTTAAACTAGTTTCTGGTGCCTTATGGAAGTGATTGTGGGAGCCTGGTTCAGCACTTAAAAACATTAGGAGCAAAAGTTGAGGTTTCTTTCTGGCTCTGCAACTAGCAGGGACTGGTATCAGAAGCAAATCCTCCTCTCCTCCATGCTGAGTCATTACTGATGAGCATTTGCTGTTCCCTGAGAGCCCTTTGCTTGAGCATCCCAAAGCACTTTGCTTGCTTCTCGGTATTCTTGTCAGTAAAGAAATAAGATACCTCTGTTGGAGAGGGAGAAACTGAGACAGAGGAGGATGTGAGCTGCCTGAGCTGTAGGGGCAAATTAGTGGCAGATCCAAGGTAAAAAATCAGGAAACCTGGTTCTACACCCCAGGTACAACCTCCAGGCAATACTTATGTAACGGTGAGGGTAATGATTCACTGGAACAGGTTACCCTGGGATGAGGTAGACTCTAGCACTTGGGATCTCTAGCTCAGTGTTTGGATGTCTCTTTAAAAGCTACTTTTCAGTTGAGCCACCAGCTTTTAGGCTCAGTGCAGGAGTCTCTGGCCTGAGCTATGCAGGCGGTCAGACAAGATGATCACAGTGATCCCTTCTGGCCTTCAAATCTCCGTGGTGTCCTTGTAGTTCTGCAGAGATCTCTTCCAGGCTTTGGGGAGGGGGAGGTTCTTTCCAGGCTGTCTTGGAGTCACTCTGCTTAGTCCCCAAAGCATCAATTCCAGCAGCCTGATCTGTTGTACAGATCAACGACACCTCAAGAGTGGGACCAGTACAGTCAGTACAACAAGGACCGAGCTGAAGCAGAAATGAAAGCTTCCAGGGAACTGCGGGAAGCGATAGCACTCACCATTGCCCAGGTAAATGGATCATCCACCTGCATAGCAGGGATGAAGGCAACGTGGGAGCAGTTAGCAGATGCTGAGGCAGGTCATCCTGCCATTTTCACCAAGAGCAATGACTGGGTGTGTGCAGTCTGCTTCACACTTAGAAACTGGCTGACTTTAGAGCCTGCCTCTGGGGCTGTGAGGGCTTGAAAACATGAAATCAAGCTAAGTGGGCAGACTCTCCTAGTTCTAATATGGAGTTTGATTAGCTCATGAATGTCCTTGCCTGCCATTGTAAGGGACCACACTCGGTAATATGGCAAGTCCCTTCTAGTACCATGTACTTGGACCAAGATTCAGTGCTGCTGGGCTGCAGGTTCATGACCAGGGAGTTTCCTCTGACTGCCAGGTTTCTGCTGTTTCCCCCAAATGACTGTTTCCCTGGTGCCCTGAACTGCTTTATGAATGTTATGAGGTGTGTCCCTTGCCCCAAGAGCTTACAGTTGAACATGGATGCAAAACTGCATAGGCCTGAGGTGTGGTTGGGAGGAGATGGGGTGGTGGGGGCATTGAAACCCATGGGGGTCATTAATGAAGGTACATCCAGGCATAGGGCTGCTACACAGGAAGCAAAGGGCATAGGTAAGTGGTAGAAGAGCATAGGTTGGCAAAGGAGGACCCTGAGGGTTGCATATTGTGGAAGTGGTGACATCGCTGATGTAACAGTGCAGGGGAGACGTCTTCCAGAAGCAGACATAACCTTTAACCTGCTTCCCCTCTAGACAAACAATGAACTGGAGGCACAGCGAGTAGCCACAGAATTTGCTTTGCGCAAGAGAATCCGGGAGCTGGAGAAAGCCTACGATGAGCTCAAGTGGCAGGAGAAGAATGTAAGCCTGGCTTTTGTCGCGCTGGAATGATTTTATAACTATGACGGTCCAGGAAAATCAGAGACAGCCCTGGGGTATCAGTCTAGGAGTCCTGAAGCTACTACCCCGGGGCAACCCCAAGGCAACCCTAGCGAATGAACCTTTGGCACAGATCACCCAGGGGTGAGGTAGATTCTCCAACACTTGGAACCTGGATGTCAGCTTTGGGGTGTCTCTTTAAAGGCTGCTTTTCAGCAATCACTTCTATGTGTGTGAGTCCAAATATAAGGATATGTTTGTTGCAGGGATGCAGAATTGCATTTCAGCTCAACAAACACACCTATCCCCTAGTGCACACTTGGCAGCCGGGCCTGCCTCAGAGCATGACGGGATGGCTGAAGCCCTTGCTCCAGTGTCCAGCACTGTTGCCAGGAGCAGTGCTTCTGGATAACTCTGAAGTGGGAGGCTCTGCTTGTTGCAGTGGCGTTGGAATAATTAGCTGAATTGGGATGGCTGCAAGCTGTGTAGCTGTCATTTTATCCTGGGGATAAATCATTGCAGCCTAAATAGGAGTACTTCAGTACAAGCTAAAGCCCTCATCTTGAGCACTGAGTGTCTGGTGCAATTTGCCCTTGTAAGACACCTCAGGGAGCTGTTGTGTATGGATGTGGGGGATAAGCCATGTAAACCCAAGGCATCCCAGCCACTGCTGCTCTGGAGTACTTTGCTAGACAGAAACATGGAGATGATGTTTCTTCTCGCAAATGCAAACTGCTTATTCCATTCCAGGGGATAGTCCTTGCTGTTCATTAATAAAGAGAAACTTCCCAGCTTGATCCTGCAAGTGCAGTGAAATGTAATGAGGGGACTTAGAGACTATTTGCAAACTCTTTCTGAGCCAGCACAGCTTAGTGCCAAGAGTGGTAAATTGTTCCCATCTGAAACCTATCTGGTGGCACACGTGTGAAATCACTGAATGGATCACAGTTCACCTTACCGAATCTACCATCACAATTGATGCTCAGTGGGATCTGCAAGTGGAGAGCCCAGTTTTTCGCCTTTCTACCTTATCCTTTGGTCTCATCCGCAGTGCTCCTTAAACAGAAGCAGCTTGCCTTGCCTGACTGACGGGGAAATCTGATTTGTAAGCACTGATGTCTTCTATGCAGGGAATTTGAACAAAAATCGGTTAGCCCTTGCTTAAAAATCATTCCCAGCAATGTAAAACTCCAGCAGTATGAGGCCTTCATGAGGCCTGCTGGTTTCCTGCCTCAGACCCCAGGTGAAATATTCATGTAGCCAGGATTTGAGTGCATCCTAGCTATGGGTGTGGGGCGGTAACGTTTCCTTGTACTATGTGTATTAATCTTCAGACCCTGGAGGAGATTGCAGAGATGGAACAGGACATTCGACGCCTGGAGGAGGATCTCAGGAAGAAGATGTGGGATCTCAAGCTGGCGCACACTCGCCTGGAGACCAGGACTTACCGCCCCAATGTGGAGCTGTGCCGGGATCAGGTACAAATGAGCCTGCAGAAGTGGGGCATCCTGAAAGCCATCCAGGAGGGATGGATGTGGGCATTGAAACCTAGATGGAATTGACCAAAGCACCTTCGTGGCTCTGAAACAATCAGTCGCGCTTTAGTGCAGACTAAATGGAAGCCAGGAGGCAAATAATGAAAGTAATTGGGGGTCATTCATACAATAATGTGCATAGAAACAACAGAGGTAGGTAGGTTAAGTAAAGAGGAGCCACGGTGACTCTCAAGAAACAGGATCAGCCCTGTTAACCCTGACTGCCTTCTCCTTTTCTCTGACTCTTAGGTCCAGTATGGATTAACTGATGAAGTGCATCAGCTGGAAAACACCATCGAGGCCCTGAAGCAAAAGCTTGCACAGTCACAGTATGTTCCAATATGATGTGGGCATTGTGCAGTGAAGGGAGGATGGCAGCAATGGCAACCAGTACCAGAAGGGCATAGCCTCACTGGCTTCCTCATATTTTTAGCAGCTGAGGTCTCCAGGCACAGACCAGAAAGATTGGGTGTATTGGGGGTTGGCAACATACAGCTTGTAGCCCGCATCCGTGGGGCTTTGGCAACATTCAGGCCTGGGCGTGGGACAGCTTTTGGCAGCAGTCGCTTTTCTTTGCCATCATGGGAAAGTAGCAATAGTGGTTAGGGTCCTAGTCCCTGCCCATCTGCCTGACTGATCAAAGCTGGGACACTGGCCCACAACCCAAAAAGGTTCATAGAATCATAGAAGTAGGGTTGGAAGGGACCTTGTAGATCTTCAGGTCCGACCCCCTCCCTGGGCAGGAGGAAAACTGGGCTCAAATGACCCCAGTCAGGTAGGCATCAAGCCTCTTCTTAAAGACCCCCAGGGTAGGAGCCAGCACCACTTCCCTTGGGAGTTGGTTCCAGGTTGTAGACCTGGGGTCAGGGGGACCTTGCATATTTAGTTAGGGGGGTCTGACTAAATTTGCACAGAGAAGTATAAAGCAGGAAAACTCTGATGAAAGCAACAGAGGCGATAGAAGCACAGCCTTGCATTTGTGTGGGGATTCCCAGTTCGTGTCCCTTGGATGTCACATTCCAACAGCATCACATGGGCTGGCTGTTATGCGGCCCAAATAATAACAGACCGATATGTCGAGATCTTCCCTGGAGCTGTGGGGTGTGTGTTAGCTCTAATGGAAAGGCAAAAGCTCTGTTGACTGTTTTGCTGTTAGAGAGCAGGAGGCAAGCTCTTTTTTCATCCATCTAAGGAAGAGCAAGTTCATTGGCATAGATGTAACCTATACCCTCTTCTTCCTTTTTTCCCAGGGGTGCCTTAGATGCTCTGTATAAACACTTGCATCACATCCAGACAGACATCAGCTACAAAGCCAACTCCCTGATGCTGGACAACAAGTGTATGGACAATAGGAGAAAGCTCACTGTTCCAGCTGAGAAATTTGTGCCAGAGGTTGACACCTTCAATCGAACCACTAACCGAACCCTCTGCCCTCTGAAAAGCAGGCAGCTGGAGCTGGCTTAACTTCCTGGAAACAGTCTTGTGCAATGAGCCACATGAAAGATAAAGCTGCTAGTGACTCTGCTCCATACCAAGGAAAGCTGACATCTGCGTTGTGTTAGAAAAATGTTATTCTCCTCCCCTCAATTTGTTATATAACTGTCTGTCCCCTTGTATGATGTCTGTGGCCTCCTTCACTCTGAGGAGCACCGTAAACAATAAAGGGTCTGTCCTCAAGAGCAGTTGTCATCCAGCAATGCTGGAAGCATTTCATGATGATTGAATCCATGTGGGCTCTTCAGTATTTTAAGTCCTTTAAAATGTAGGCTGTGCTCTGAAAAGGGACTGCTCAACAGTGGCACCAGTCCAGATCTTCTCCCTGGGTGTATTGACTCAGATTTGCTTGCTTTAATGATTAAAATAAAATTGGAGGGGTGTGTGTGTCCCCACCCTTCTGTTAGTTTTGCAGAGCTGATGCAGCTGCAACATAGGAACTCTGGAAACCCTTCTAGCTTTTACAGTAGCAGCCTAGTTAAAAAAGATGTAATTGCATACTGAATTCTGCCCTTGGTTCTTATTTGTATACCAGTAGGGCTTGCAGTATGTGTTATATGCTTGCAGCCTGGAAGACAGGGTCACCTCCCCAAAAGCCTGCATATTAAAGTTATACTTTTGCTACCAGGATCAGTATTTGGCTTGCTGTCTATCTCTGACTCACTGATCATCACTACAATTTAAAGGTGTCTATGCTGCTTAAATATGAGAATATGACCCTGTAGGAAGGAAGCTAGTTTGTTGCCCAGGCTTTAACATGAGGTCACAGAGCTGGAGTCTAAGGAAAACGAATGTCTTCCTAGTTGTAAACCAGGGATCAAAACAGGTAGGCTTGTGACAGCTCCGGCAGCTAGTCGTTCCTCATTGTAGCTGTTGCTTTGTGCTTCAGAACTGAAGCATTTGCTAAAAAATAAAACCACTGCCTATACTGAGATTCCTGAGCAAACTGATGTCACCCACCATAATTGTACAACCTGCTTGCGTAAAAGCACATCTCCAGGGTTGTGTAGATGTGACAGGTGACAGTGCAGCAACAGGTGCAGCCTGTCTCCGTGAGGGGTTTGCAGTGCTATAGCTATGCTGGTAGCTAACAGCCCTTGTGGTTGCAGAGAAAAACTTTCCATGTAAATTCAAATGATGTCGTCTGCCTTGGTGTTTAGACAGCCTAAAGCAACAGTTCTGGGGCATGCGAGCGGTTTCCAATGGATGTTACTTCTGAAACCTAATGGTTACTTAAATACCAATACTGGTAATTCCATCTGCTGGTCAAGCACTGAAGAAAGAGAAAGGGAAGATCAGCATCTTGTTTTGGTGTCCCAGATGGAAGCGGATGGTTCATGGAGTGGAGGCTGAAAGAACATAATTACTATCTTTATTCCAATTTGACTTTTGCTCCAACCTGGTCCCATAAGAGCTTCAGTAAGAGCCTTCTAGGCTAACTGACCTGTGGCCTCTTTCAGCAGGGCTGCTTATTTCACCTGTCAGAGCTCTCGGAGACTTGTTCCCTGTGCTGATGACAGGGTGCCTATTCCTCCTGCTTGCACAGGTTATTTGCAAGACAGGAAAATAATAGTAACTGTAAGAACCACCCCCCCACAGGTGAAGAGCGACCGAGCACTCGCAGTCCCTTCTGTCGGCAATGTGAGCTGGGCCCCTTGGAGCACCAGGGGAAATACCATGACCATTGAGGCAGTTCTCCCAGGGGCAGGGGATGGCTGCTTTTCTGGCATGGGGTAGTACCTGGGCAGAGGTAATGTATAATTACTCTCCCATTTTCATTTCCAGTGGGAAGATCTTGGCTTTATGCCTCCTTTATGGAAATGGGAGACTTCTCCTGAGCTTGCTCCATATGGCTGAGGGCGAGCAAAACCTGGGGGCATCCAAACCCCAAGCCTCCAGACTTGAGCCTGCACGTAGGATGCCTGCCAAATGATTTGGAAACCTGTGAAGCCCCAGGTGGGGGTGGAGGATATTTGCTGGTAGTAAGGCTGTATATGATTCTTGAATGACTTATGGATTTGGCTTTGAACACACAAAGTTTTCCTAAAAAAAAAGAAGCTTGGCAGTGTTTGCACCTGTGCCCGCGCCGTGCACATAGATGAGGGCGTATCATTAACACGGCACAACCCCGAGACGTAGGCAGCGCCCAGCAGGCGCCGGGGGGGCCAGGCTGGCATCGCCCCTGCCTTGCCCTGTTGCTTTCCGAGCCCATCTTCCCTCATCCCGCGGCCCCCTAAGTGCCCGCCTCGGGGAGGGCGCCTTCAGTGGTTGGTGCCTTCTGGCTCGTGGGGCTTTTCCAGCACCGCGTTATGGCCCCAAGCTACGTCTGTTTTAAGAGGCCCCACACGATAAAAATAATCCATGGACGCTCATGAAATTTCTGCCCAAATTTATGAGCTCAACAGGATCGTTGGCGGCCCCTTGACATCGAGCATGACGCTTGGCGGCCCTTGGGTGCCTGTGGAGCCCGGGTCTGGACGCGCTCGTGGGGACACGTGGCGGAGCGGGACTCGCCGCCCTGGTCGCTCTCCTGCTCCTCGGGGTCCAGTCGTCGGGCCTCGAAGCGGCGCCTCGGTGGACCAGGGCTCAGCCGTGGGTGTCGACGCCTCCGTGCTGCAGGGCACGAGCGCCACGTGGCCCGGGACGCTAAGGGCCACGACGACCGCCCGCAGATGTCCGTGGTGGTTGGCGGCGATTGAGGGCCCCCCCCAAATGTCTGCACTCAGCACGAGGAGCCAGGGAGAGGTGTGCAGTTTTGGTCCCTTGGAAATGTCCAGTTGTTTCCCCCCC